AAAAAATATATACGTATAGGTAAAGGTTAAATCTGTGCTCCTCTGGAGACACTTTTTCAAAATTTTATTCAGTTTTTTATAAAAAAAAAATAAAAAACTCGACTTTTTTACCCATTTTCTCAATTTTTTTTAGAAAAAACTAAATTGAATTTTAAAAAAGTGGTTCCAGAGAAGCATATATTTAACATTTAGCTACACGTATATATTTTTGTCTTTTAAAAATAGTCAAAAATAAACTTTAAAAGTGGGGTACTACGAAACCCTTACATTGCAAGATTTTTCGTCTGGAAAGTGGCGCCTCTGTTAGATTTTTAAGAAATTAATATTTGTGAATGAAAACAATTTATAATATATTTTACTGATGTTTTACGAGGGATAAATAAATTTTACCTATTTGTACACCTTATTTTTTACGTAAATCATTTCCGTAAAACTAAGAATGGCATATATATTATATGCCAAGGTTTCATAGTATACCAATTTTACGGATCATTTTTTAATTTTACCAAAAGAACATTTATGTAAGTACAGGTAAAGGCTAAACGCGTACCTCTCTGGAGACACTTTAAAAATTTGAATCAGTCTCTTCCAAAAAAATCTAAGAAAAGAAACGAAAAGAAATAGAAATGTTAAAAAATGCTAGAAGGGAACAATATATTTAATTTTTGCCTACAGGTGCATTTATTTTTCTTACAATAAATATAGAAATACATTAAAAGCTTTTTCGTCTAGAGGGTGACACCATATATTTTACATACAGTAATTTCGCTCAATTATATTAAAATAATTTTATCATTTATTTATTAAAAAAATTATCCGAAATTAAAAGGTATACACTGAGATGTGAATTATAAAATATGTTTTTGTTTAACTTTTATATCGCACGTTTTTTTTTTTGTTTAATGAATACCTCTTCGAGTTAACAATAATTATTAATTCCAGCATGTTAACAACTCTTCAATCCGTTAAAGTAATGTAAATCATTTTTCTTGCTTTCGCACATGGCTTTGATCTGTCGCACTCTTTGAGGCGCGTTGAAAGAGAAGATTTTCTAAAATATAAGCCAATGTCTATGGATGATAAAAAACGATTGTGACAATTGCTGATTGTGCAAAAGACGAAAAGGAGTCACTGCTTAAAATTTGGAGAAATTTGTAAAAATCTAAAATCTTTTATTTATTGCTAAAGCCATCCGATATGGTATGGACCATAAATTTAGAGCAAAATAAGATTTGGAAATTTATTTGCAAGAAAAAGTTTTTCAATGGGACATTTTATTGAATCCCAATTTGATTATGTTGCTGCAAATCTGGATGGAATTAAAAAAAAAACAAATTATATGATAGAGTTGAAATGTCCATATGGAGCTAGAGTGCTGACTGTAGAAGAAAAAATATGCAGTAGAGAAATAACTTTTTGGAAAAAGGACAATACCAAAGGAGAACCACTATTGGTATTTTCAAATTCAGGGCTAGCTGCACGTAACACAAATGGATTTTTGCATTTTGTGCTTTTGTGCTTTTGGACTTCTGCAGGAATAAAAGTGGAGAAAATTTTGGAAAGAAAAGATACAAAATAAAATTCAAAATTTTTATATGCAATATGCCTTGTCGGAACTTGTTGACAGCGGATCTAATAGAGACATGGAAAAATATTGTTTAATTTTTATTAACATAACGCAAGGAATCTTAAATTATTTTGAATATGTTTATTAATTTAAGAATTAAATTTTATTTATTTCTAAAAATGGTAGTAGGCGATCCATTTAAGATATGATTAATGGCTTATTATTATAATACGCTTTTTTAAATTTAGGATTTTACCAGTGTCAGTGGCAATTGATGATATATAATTATTATTATACCCAATGTTTTAAAAGGCTACACCAACTAGTGGACCACGTTATTGTTATTAAGTCCCCAAATAATAATTTCAAGAATTTGATTCGGATTAGAAGTTTTACTATACAGGGTTTTGTGCCAAAAGCAAGTCATGTATTGATATTGTAAAACGCAGATGAGTAACTATCACATCAATAGAAATTGAAAATTTACATATGAATCTTTAAAACGTAATTATTTATAACTTTAATAACTTCATACGGTCAAAAAGTTTAGCAAACTTATTTAATTTTAAATATAAATTGATTTTCATTTTAAGTAGCGTTCAGATTAAAATATGAATTGATTTAAGGAGCTTAACTGAAAAACGGGAACTAATGCTTCCATTCCAAAAAAGTATTATGGTCAATAAAAGGAATTTCGAACTGTGATATCTTCAAGTTCTTATTTAAAACCTTTAAATATTAATATTATCATTAAACAAGAGTTATCTTTACAAATATCGAACATAAGTTTGTTGACATAAACATTATTTTCATAATACAAATAAATACATCTCTGTTAAAGAATGGGCATAATTTATTTAATATATTCATTTAAACATGTTTTTGTTTTCTGTGTAGATGATATTCAATACTAACTTTTTCTATATAACTTCTTATACCCGACATTGTGAGATAAAAAACAGACAATTAATTAAGTTCGTACTTACAATTTTTCGGGTATAGGAGTTTCAATGTTATACTGTTTCCCAAATTATGAAAATACTAAAAAATTTAAAAATCCAATTAAAGAATGTGGTAATATCTACAGAAAAACTTGCTTGACAACATCGTGTTTCTTTTTTGGAAACAGAGAACAATCGAAAATTATAAAAATAACATATTTTTATTTCAAAAAAATAATAGGTCAGTTTTTTGTTTTTTATGTAAATCATATCATTTTGAAGGCAATAAATCAGAAGAAAATCACCGAAAACCTGTTTAAAAAAGGTCTATTAGTTTTTTTTAGAAAATGGAAAGAGAAAAAACGTTTTTTAATCGAGTTACAATTTTTTACTAATTTCGCTTTTTCTCTTCGACGATATCCGGTCTTCCTCTTGTTTAAAATCGATAACTATAAACGGATTAAGGTATTTTGTACCTGTTAAAAAATTTAAGAAATATTTTGAAGAATATAATTCTTTATTTATAAAAAATAGTAAACTTTAATAAACATATACAGTATTCTAAAAGATAAATCACATTTTTGTGATTATACAAAAATTTTATTTATTTTTCCAATATAATATGGATTGCCCTCTAAAATATATGTAGTGGCTCGCAAACAGTCTGCTTTTTATATGGAAACTTTTTCTTGTTACTTTTTTCAGAAAATATAATTCCTGATAAAACTTGATGTTTAATTAAACCTAAAACTTTATTTAAAAAATTCTGTACCATAAATATAAATTTGGCTGCGCAGTGAACTAGGTACTCTTCTAGAAACCAACCCCACATTTTTACATATAAAATTCATTTAAAAAATGTACATAATCCCATATATGTAGTAGTTTTTAGTTAAAACAATTAATATAGTTTATTAATGTTCAGCGATAATTCTTTAACACAGAGTCCAATTTCAAGGATTCTTTATTTTTGCTTGAAAGGAGGTACTTTAGGGGTGGTCCCATATTTGGTCAAAATCTAATAATTAGGTCCATGAGAAAATCCTCAAACTCTTCATTTTTTATGTTTGTTTAGCGATAATTCTTTACCACCTTGTCCGATTTCTATGATTCTTTTTTTTTTGTTAGTAAGGGGTGGTCTCATATAAAGATGTGGTGATGGCATCTGCACGATTTTGAAGTCGGATTTTTAAAATTACTTTTAATACTTGTTACGTAGATTAAAAAAGTTTGATAATTTGGTGCTTTCTTGATGCGTCGTTTTTTGATTTCACTTTGTATATGTTTAGGTACAGATAATTATTATTACTGGCAGCTTATTTTAAATCATTAAAATAATATTTTGTTAATCCAAAAACGGCAAACAAAAAAGCCATGTCGCATACAGTGTAATAATAAAAATTAGATATATAAATATAGTATTTTATGTACTAACGGACTAAACTTTCACTTTTAATCCCGCCTTTTTGTCGTAAAAGTCTTTTTAAAATTTTTACCAGTGACTGAATATTTTTGAAGAAAAATAAGGTGCGCCACTGCTTTTTCTAAAAACCAAAATTATCTTTAAATTCCTTATTTATTTTGGAGCAAATTTGGTTTATAGATGTACTTTTGTACGACGCAACTTAAATAAAAAAATAGTGTAAAACCGTCTAATAAATCGAACTGCCTTATAACAGTATCTCACAATGCAGCAAGAAGGTAACTCTGACTCACTTTATAACTGATGAACGTCGGCAGCCGTGGTGGGATTTTTCGGTTCCTTTGTCTCAACGTCGCGCGTTAGAGTTTAGAATATGTATCCCTCGTATCTACATGCAATTGTTAAAATTATTAATGAATGCGGATTTTGTTTAGTCTCGGAATTAAATTTGTAGTATTTAGGCTCCACCCTCAAGTTGTAATTTTTATACCTACTAAACTACCGTTGGTCTTTCAGTTTGTAATGTAAATTTTCCTCTTTTTTATTATTTTATAAACTATTAATATCATACAAAATTTAACAATATTATAAATAAGATAACAAAACTTTGCTAATTAATTAAACAACGAACTAGATATTTTTGCTGACTTCCAATATTCTAATTCCCGACCAAAATCGTTCTATTTTTAACTGTTTAATTTATGGTAAAATAAATTAAACTTCAATATACAGGATGTTATTTTGATATGTTCTGATTGAACATATAGTGACGTATCTATGTGAAGCCCACCGCTTCGTTTAGCGGGATCTTAGGGTGATGACAAATCTGATGTTTATATTTTGGTCTGTAACCTCTCTCGTAATAATAGCTTGTTAAAGATTATGTTTTTGTAATAATATATGGCCTGTGTCTGGAATTTATGCAGCATCGTACTTAGTTTATTTTACAATTAAATAGGCTTTGTATTTTTAATATTATCCTTGCAATGATTTTTATTTTTTATATAATTTTCTAAATTGTATTTAAAAAAAAAATTAACATCTTTTTCAATTACTTTTTTTTTTTCAGAAATGAAAAGTTTTATACGTGCTGTGATGAACCGTACCTTGACATAACTTTCAACATAACGATGAGAAGAAAGACGCTCTTCTACACCGTCAACCTGATCATTCCTTGCATGGGCATCTCTTTCCTCACCGTACTTGTGTTCTACCTACCCTCTGACAGCGGCGAAAAAGTGAGTAGCCCATAACTAATCTTATCCTGTCAACTTTTTTTTACGTACCTTAGTCTTTTTATAGGCTTATATGTATTGGATTAAATATCATTATTCTAAATATTTAACAGTATATGGTCCCAAATGGGAACCTTGAAGTATGCCAGATTAAATATTTATAAAGGAAGATTTAAAACTTTCTGCCTTGTAACTCAGAAAAACAGATTTTTCTGGCTAAGAACCCAAAAAAATCGAATTTTATGACTTGCAACTCAGAAGAATCGTATTTTCCACTTACAGCTCAGTGAAATCCATTTTGAAGTCTAAAAATGTAATACCCACATTTATACAGTAGCGCTACCTCTACATTCTCATGAAAACAACTTAGTGAGATGCTCGTTAATAGTTTTATGAGGCTATACATAATATCTATGCTCTACGTGTGCTTCGTTGGATACAGAGATAACAGGAGATATATTCATTGATAAAATAAAATATTACTGACGCCTGACACTGATACCCGTGTCGATACGCTTCAGTTGTAGATCAGGAATGAGGAGACATGTGGTGTGAAGTAATAGTAGGGATACTCTGAAAGATTTGACGGCCCTACAAAACAATTTTAATAATGAATATATGTGTAATCCGTTATACGCCGATAATAAACAACGTACAAAATGCCAAGCCATGTTGCCACATCTAGTACAAAATACTTGATATCCAACTTAACATTAACTAGGTTTTGGAATTTATTGAAAATTATTACATCTAATTTAGTGTTAAATTACTTCTAATTTAGTTAAATTTGATATGACTAACGATTCAAAATTTTTTGGGCTCAGTTGCAATAAAACAGTTTGTAACTCATTTCAGCTTTTTTACGATATGTAAATAATTTTGTAAACAAAACGAGAATGATGAAAGAGGCATGACAACAGCGGATATTATACCTTTCTGTGTCCCTTAGCATATGTCTTATTCACGACAGCACGATATATCTGGTTGGATGTCATTTGACTCTCGATAAAAAAATACTCAGATTAGAGCGCCTACTAAGTTAGGCAACACAAGAGTACCACCTACTATTATAAACAGAATTAACTGTACCAGATAAATTATATTGTTTGACAAGTTTCCGGCTCCTTTTTTTTTCATTCTCTGGAATGAATTTGGATGAAGCTAAAATTTTATTTGGTAATATAAAACTTTATTAAAATTCAATGGGAATGAGAAGGAGTAGGGCATCTAAATGATGGCACAATAGGCCATCAGCGTCTCAGTGCCGCCATGCGAACCCCAAGAGTAAGGAAAGGATACTGAACCTCAAGCCTGATTGAGGGGAGCCAGTGGCTGGACCAAAGCCTGATTTCGGGAGTGTCTGTCGGAATCCTTCGGGAGGGAAGCAGAGAAATGCCTGAAAGGATGAGTAAAATATATATTTTATTTAAAGTTGTGTTATTGGGGATTATTACTAAAATACTTACGTTGTAAATTATTTAACATATCACAGAAGTATAGTTTATGCTCTCGTGTCGCTTCCACTTCCAACCTATAATCCATTTCCCACAATAATTTTTTTGAGTTCTTCAAACAGAGGTTTCCCAAATTATATATGTATTTTTTTTATTTTTTTAGGTGAGTTTATCGATCTCCATTCTCTTGTCGCTGACTGTATTCTTCCTCCTTCTTGCTGAGATTATTCCTCCCACTTCGCTTGTGGTGCCTTTACTTGGCAAGTTTGTGTTATTTACGATGATTTTGGATACGTTCAGGTAAGCAATCTTTATTATACAAATAAATAAATGTATATTAGAATAAAAAAACTAGAAAATTTTTGGCAGTTAAACTGACAAAATTAATTTTTAGTTGTCTTCTTTAAAAATCATATAATTAGACGATTTTCGTTTGATTATTAATAAAATAGATTTTATTTCAATAATTTAGTATATTAAATCTGCATTGTGTAAAGTGAAAGAGGAAAAATTGCATCTAACATAACATAAAAGCTCATAGATGTAAACTCCGATGGCGGGTAAAATATTGAGCTCTTTGAAGGCACTTCTGCAGGTTTCTCCAGGTTTAAGATTAGCTAAAAGTACGTATGGCATATTTTTGGATGATAAAAATTCTATTGAAATCCTTACAGAGACCCCAGTGTATAATACCATACATCAAATGGCTATGAAAATTAGCAAAATATAGAGTTATTGTTATATGGCTACTACATTGTTTAGTCATGACACTAAGTGCAAAACAAGACGACGATAATCTTTTGCTAAGCCGTTCGACATGTTCTTCCCAAGTTAAGTGGCAATCCAGATAAATACCAAGTAATCTTATATTATTAGCGTTTATATGTATTCCGTTGCCAATTTTTAGATTAGATTTATTAGATGTAAAAACCATGCGGGCGGTTTTATCATTATTTATAGTTAACTTGTTGTGATACATCCATTCTTGTAGACTTGAATATATTAAATTCAGATTTGCTTGGAGATTAGAAACATCTTTGAGTTTTAGGAGAATATTTGTGTCATCAGCATAACAGACAAGTGAATTAATTGCATGGCCTAAAGCACATTTTAAATCGTTAGCGTAGATGATGAAGAAGAGGGGAACAAGTACCGAGCCCTGCAGTACTCCTAAAGAAATTTCTACCGACTCAGACAAAAAGGTCTCACCAGCAGATCTAATAGAAACTTTTTGAGTGCGAGCCTCTAAATAAGACTTGAACCATTCATGTACTATACCACGTATTCCATGATGCTCGAGCTTAATCAGAAGTAACGAGTGATTGACACAGTCAAAGGCTTTTGTACGATCTATGTACAAACCAATAGCTGCAGATCGATTGTCAATTGCATCTATAATCTCTTTAACAAACGTAAAGAGTACCGTGTCAATGCTCCGTCCTCTAATAAACCCATGCTGTGAATCATTTATCAGGCCATTCCGGGTAAGATAGTTACTTAAATTGTGATACATGATTATCTTATAAATTTTTGAAAATGTAGAAAGCAGGCTAATCGGTCGATAGTTGCAGATGTCATTAGGATTATCCTTTTTAAATAAGGGTAAGATTATAGTTTGTTTTAATGACTTGGGGAAAATTTCCGATTGGAAAGAAATATTAATAAGATAGGTTAATGGTAATAAAATGTGCGTTTTGCACTTTTTAAGTAATATACTTGATATTTCATCGAAACCACAAGCTGTGGAGGATTTTAATTTTGAAATTGGTTGCATGTTATAAATACAATAAATTGTATACATTTTAATGATATAACTAAATTAAACTAAATAAAACGCTTGAAACATAACTACCAATAACATTACTAAAGAAGAAATATTTAAAATTAAACTAAAATACTGATGTGCGACCCATTTTCGATCAGTCCGGTCATACTACAATCCCTTGAATCTCTATTTGCCTTATTTGGGCCTTTTATGGTTTCCATTTTTCTCGTTACCAAAAATATTCGGCCAAACAAGTAGTCTTCAGAATCGGAGGTAATCGGAGGGAGTCATTCAGTCTAGTAGTAAAATTCTAGAATTTACTGGAAGCACCAGTCTATAAAATAGTGGATCTGCATATGTATGTTTCTGTTCTGTCGGATCTTAGTGGAGAAACGTCTGGAGTTGTCATAGCAAGTTCTTAAAAATGTGCTAAGATGTCGAGAAACGCAACATGTGTATATAAATAACCACGTGCGCAGATTAATATTACCCATATAAATTAGTGATTAGCAAATGTTATATAATAAATAACTATTTTATAAACTATATAAGGGATCAAGAATAGAAATTTCTAATATTTGAAATGCTAGTACAAAATAAATCAATACCTCCACTTAAGTCATTGACCGTGGACAGCATACGATGCAATGGAGACTGATATAATAAGTTTGTTCTGGGAGTGGGAAGAATTGATTCTAGGAACAAAACAGTTAAGCTGAGCACACAGAGCAGGGCTTTTAATTAAATGGTGTACTATTTTGTAAATGAAAATTATTGAATATATAACTACGTTGAAGTTAGCTCCAAACATTGTTAAAAGCTGGTCTTGTGATATCCCCGCTCGAGGTAGGTTCCATGAAAATAATAATGAAGACTCTTAATGAAACATCGCTGAACCTTTTCTAAAGTTAAGACGTGCGCATTATAATTAGGAGACCCTATTACTGAGGCATATTTAAGCTTGGATCTAACAAGGGATCTTGATAACAATTTGCAAGTATCTGGATTATTAAAATCTTTGATAGACCGTAAGATGGAATCTAGAACTTTAGAACACGACGCGACAGTTACAGCAAGATGATTAACGAATGATAATTTTGAATCGAATACAACGCCAAGGTCTTTAATCGTGTCAGGTTTCTGCAGGACGGCTCCTCCTATATTGTAATCGTATCTTATACAATTAATCTTTCGCATATATGACCTAACATTGCATTTATTAATTATTCACCAATTGTGAATTTTGTTTATATCGGATTGCAGTAATGTACAGTCATTGATGTTATCAATCTTTGAAATAAGCTTCAGGTCATCAGAGTAGAGTAAATATTGTACATTTAATAATTGAGAATGGGCTTTGACAATTTGATTTGTAGCATTTTAAGGGCTTATTAACAAATATCGTTTATAAAGATTATAAAGCATAAAGGACCTAAAATGAAACCTTGTGGTTTACCGGAAACTTTAGATATCAAGCGAGATTTAACACCACTAATAAGGATATACTGGGAACGATTACATAAATAGGAACTAAGGAGAGATAGTACATTGTCAGAAAAATTCAACATATTCAACTTGGATAGCAAAATTGGATGACTAAAGTAATCGAATGCTTTGGTGAAGTCAGTGTAGATTACATCTACCTGACCACCTCGATCCAATATTCCGCTGATAAATTGAGTTTTAATAGCTAGGTTAGTAATGGGTTAAACCGAGTTTTCAATATGCCTCTAGAAAAATTTGGTCACAGTGATTTCGAATACTTTAATAAAATTGCGATTGGTCTATAATTTGTTATATCATTTCTGTTGTCCTTTTTGTACACCGGGACAGTTTTTAAAATTTTCCATTTCTCTGGAAAAACAGACGTGGATATTATCAGATTAAAAATAATACTAAGCGGCTTAGCAAAAACAAATAAGCCATCACGCACAAGAAACGCAGGAACATTATCTGGACCCATAGTCAAATTTGTCTTGATTCGCTTAGTTGACTCGATTACGTCTTCCTCGGAGATCTTGGGCATTACCAAAGCGTGGTTAGGAGAAATAACATCAAATAAGGAGGGATTTACATTTATTTTATAGATTTGTCACGGTGTTTCTCATATCTTGGCGGCATATGTTCTAAAGTCACGCTTTAACTATTTTAAGTAATGATTAAATTCGTCTGAGTTTTTTATTTTTTGTTTAAATTATATCCCATTTCCCTACAAACTTGTATAATAGTGAAACAAAACGTTAGTTCTGCTTCATTAGTAACCAAGCCGGAAGTTTTCTTCCAAGGCCGCACTTTTACGTTCAAAGCATGAAAATATAGGTATTTTCATGCAATTTACTGTAACGAAAAGAGAGAGAACATAAGCAGAAAGAGCGAGAAAGAAGAAGAGCTTGAAAGTAACGTGTAAAATGCTACCCGAATATTTTTTAATAAAATATTAATTAAAATGTTCTACTCGTACAATAAGAGAGAATTTTCAAACATCAACGTACATTTTTCAAGCTCTGGCATACAATAACTAGTTTTTCAGTGAAAATATAATTAACGTTTCCCGTGAAATTGGATAATTCCAACTTATAGTATACGAGGTATGACAGGAGAATGACTGAACTAATTTTTTCAAAGCATCTAGTGCTGGTAGTTGACAGGTCGATAATAATCGAGGCTTTCACAATGGACTCATTATTTTGATTTGTAGCATTTTAAGGGATTGTTAACAAACTTCTGCGCTCATGGGAAAGTATGTAAAGTTATAATAATAAAATGATAATGTACAAACATAAATATTTTTTGGCTCCTGACAACCTTAGTTACTAGTTTGTTACAAGTGAGGTGAGCCTAACCTTTGCCTTCCACTAGGGTATAGTAGATTTACACAAAAAATTGCCCAAAGGTGGAACTAATTCCCACAAAGACGGGGTTTGATTTTTTAAGCTCATTGCTCATATCCTTTCAACATACTAAAAGTCTAGAAAAATGTGAGTGTGCGAAATGCGTTTTTTGGCCGACATTTTTTTAATTCATGAAAAATCGTGTGTGGTATCAAATAATGGGCAATTTTATGCTGAAAAAGATTATGATAATGAGCAAAAAAGATAAAAAAATAATAACAAAGTGGTGGGCAAAAAATAGGAAGCTTAACTAGAAAATGTTATTTTTAATAATCAAAATGTTGTATAAAAAATGCAAAAATTAAGTCTTCTTCATTATTTTCAACACGTTCTTTCGAGGCATTATTTGTACAATCGCGACCAGAACAGTTGCAGCATATCTCAGTACATTCCACACCATACCGTCGACAAGTACATCTACCACTACCACACGGCTCATTTGTATCCGTTTTGCAGGTGCAGCGGATTGTGTTTAGTAATAATTCTGGTGCAGGGCTCATTTTGCATATTATGGGCTGTAGTTTGTCTCCTACTTTTTTCCAACACCACTCTTCGGGGTTGGCAATATTGGTGTTCATAGTTTTCCAATAAAGGTATTGTAAATATACGCAAAGAAGGTGCTGAACATCAGCATCTTCAGTTGGTGGCAATCTTGCAATATTGAATTCACTTTTGGCAGTTGTGATTTTTTTAAGTAATGTATGTTGAGTTTTTTTGCTTCCGAACATATAAACTTCAGTGTGGTATAAACACAGCTGTGAGTTGCAGGATTCATATCAATCATAACGACATTTATGTATCCATTCCATCCAGGACGCGGCGTCTTCAACAACTTACTGGTGTCCCACAAAAGATCTAATAGATTCTGTTTCATGTCATTTAAAATCAGTTCTTCAAATATAATTTTGTTCATGTTGGATTTAAGAGACTGAAAGAATCTAATTGCTATTTTTGCTTCTGCAGAGATATCAGCAGCATTAAGCCGGATTTTGCAACGAGGGATCTTTCTCTCTGACAACGAATTAGACTTTGTACCAGGTGGTCCGGATTTGCACATGATAATTCCCATTCCATGGAAAGTGTTTTGACCATCGATGGTGGCAATGTTGTGGTCCACATTATCAGCTATCCGCTGACAGAAATGACCTGGTGGAACTTGAAAATTTGGTGTCTTGTCTATTATTGCAGATTGTAAATACTTTGGTACTTCATCATATAATATGGAAAACCCAAGTCTGTAAAGCTTGTCTACAAGTAACCGAGAACCAAAATCGCGATGAATTTGGACACCAACAGCAAGGAGGATTGGACTTATAAGTGATATTGGTCTTGACGCCTGTCCAATGGAAATCTTCTTCAAATCACTTGCCTTAGGACCAATGATAATATTCAAGAAATGTTGCAAAACTGATGACTACAACTTTTTATTTTCCTGTTCAGATGCAATCTCTGATGACGAGGGATAGTGCTTCGTTGTAGTTGATAATAGTTTGATTTTCGTTTTGTTCAGTTTTGCTGCTGCTTCAATCAGATGATATTTCTCTGATTCAGGGTCTTATTTTTCTTCTTCTGGTAATCCAAAATAATATCAGTCACTGTTTCACCCATAGTTATCATATTAGGCAATCCATACTTCGAGCAAACGATGATATTCCCAAAAAAATGTTCTTTAAGCTTTTGCAGCATGTGGCGTTCACTATATGGTTCACTACCAACTGGTAGAAAGTCTTTCATTTTAGAAACCAGCTGCTGGGCACAAACCGTCTCATCATTTTCTTTAAACCACTTACATACTTCCAAAAAAGCCTAGCTTGTCTTTCTCCATAGGTGGACCAAGAGGTTTGTAACGTAATTCGTCTTTAGAATTATCTTGGTACTTTTTTGGGATCGGGTCACCTTTTCGAAAATTTACGCTGCATGCCTGGTGGTAAATGGCATTTGCTGCTGCCAAGCCATTTACTAATAGCAAACGAGATTGAACCTTTGCTGACCATAAATCATTTCTGGAGTTACACGCCTTCATAACTGATTTTTGAAACATTACTGTACGAACCTGTATAACCCCAGATTTATGCCGTTTCTCACGATTAGTACTCGCCTGCAACTACCTTGTGCTTCATCCTGAGTGGATAACTTTAATTTTGCATCATTCTGGATATTATTAGGATTTTTATATACACGGAGGCATTCAACATGGACTCTCGCGGGGTCATCAGAAAATGGTTCAAATAACTCATGGATATTGTCTTTTCGAATTTTACTTGCACTTATAATTCCTTGTATACCTTTGGCAGATAACTTAACGAACTTTGAAGTTTCTCCTTCTTTTTCAGAGCACAAGACACAGTTTATATCTGCCATGTTAAGTTTCTTAGGATTTGTCACAACTTGGGAAAGTCACCTGAAAAAAAAAGGAATTTACATATTTTTACATACCGTATAGACTTAGTTTTTCCCATACTATTTTGTTATTCATTTTTATTCTTTTTAATCCATAATCTGTTCTTTTTCAGCATAAAATTTCCCGTTATTTGATACCACACACGATTTTTCATGAATTTTGAAAAAAATTCAAGATGGCGGCCAAAAAACGCATTTTGCTCATTCACATTTTTCTAGACTTTTAGTATGTTGAAAGGATATGAGTAATGAGCTCAAAAATTACACCTCGTCTTTGTGGGAATTAGTTCCACCCTAAACCATACTTCGACTATACTACTAAGACTACCACAAAAATTAAGGTTGACGTATGTGTGAGGCGATAGTATTTAGTGAGGTAGTGTGTTCAAGTCACTACTGTTCTTAAAGGGAACGTTTCTATTCAAAATCGACAGTGAAAACTTGTAATGAAGCTATTTTTAAATACGTTTTAAAGAATCCATTTAATTTTGCAAGCAGAGTCTGGTTGATCCGAAAATATTGAATCTTCGAATCACCCAGTTTTTTTAAGTTTGTACCGTTAGATTGAAAGATTCTTCGTTTTGGCCATAAGTACTAAAACGGATAATATTCCAAGAAAAGCCCACCGAAGTAAGTTGCTTTAGCCACTAGCACGCGGAATTTATCTGCAGGAGTGCATTTCAAAACCTCCCGGCACGTGTGGAATCGTTTAGAAAGTTAGGTAAGAAGTGACGTCACACCCCAAAATCTTAGTTGCATACCGTTCAGAAATTACGTTCTGGGGCTCGATTCTCGAGTTCATTGGAAAATTTTCCCATGGGAAAAGATTCCACTACTTATATTCCCATGGTAATAGGTTATGCAATTCTCGAACTTGTCGGAATAGACATTCCCATGGAAATAATAGTTTCACGTATGTCTGATATTAAGTTTACGAATATTTCGAAATAACCAATAACATTAAAGATATTTTAAAATTTACTGTTGGTATTATTTGTATTTGTTGTGGTTTTTGGGTAACCGATTACCTGCCGAGCCTCTACGCTGGAGCAGATGCCGTGCCGAGCAATTGCTAGCTTGACCGAGGACAAGTGAAAATATTCGATTATGTATAATTAAAACTTTTCGAGTTATTTTTAGTTTTTCTTTTCACATATTGAAAAAAGAAAAAGTAGCTTTTGTATAGAAGAGCAACGAAAGTTTCGAGAAACTAAGAAAATCTTTCGTTAACGGAAATAATAAAATTTTCGAAAAGGTCTTATTAAATTTACTACAAATTTCTCAATTTGTGTTACCTATTTGCCAGTCCCTTAGCAACTTCCACAATTTCTAACTAATTTAAGAAAATCAGTTTCTTAGTGAAAAAGAGGTAAAAATAATATACCCACATAAATAAAATAATATCAATTTATAAATACACAAAAAAAATGTTTTAACTACAATTTCACCAAAAATCCAAGATATCCAATAATCTTTGGTTATGTCTTAGTCTTTCGCGTGGTCTTTCGTCAAATTTTCGACTTTAATGCGCAAACTCTAGTACAATTCCCATTGGAAAACACAATTTACAATGCTCGTAAGCAGGTTAATATTTTCCCATACTTCTCATTGGAAAATATTCCACCGCTTATGCCGAGAATACGAAAACTGAATTCCCATGGGAAAATTTTATTTTCCCATGGGAATAAAAGTCGAGAATTGACCCCCTGGACAGGGATTCTAATGTGCGAACTCAACACGTTACGTGTTGAATAGAGAGAGACATTACATAAGAATCTAATTCTGTCAAACGAAGATAGAGGCTTCTCAACACGTGCCGTATTGAAAGATGAGAATCCCACTGCTCAGTGTTGCCGCGACGATTTTTAAAATTGTACTGTAAAATTTTGGAAAATGTACTGAATATAAAATTTTTTAGGAGAACCATTACATCATTATATTTTTAGTTCTATTTCTGAGTCAATCATATTATATTCTCTTATGAGAAAACAGGCTTTATTTATTAACAAAAAATTATTTCTTACTGTTTATTTTATTCAGAACACAATAACAATAAACACAAAGCTGCAGCGATTACAAATTGCAACTGAACATTGGATTTAGAGAAGTATAGAACGGAGAACTAAGTTGTCCAAACCTACCACAAAGTATATTTCGGTAATTCCCCTAATTTCCCTGTAATGTCAAGCCAAGTTATTTGTCTTTTTACTGATAAATAGCAGTACATACACTATTTAATAATTTACAGTTTAAAGAATCTGTCCTAGTTTTAATTATTAATTAATAGACCAAAATTAAATCAATAAATAAATTTATAATATGGATTTGTTCATCCAAACGCTGTAAATTTTGCTTTTTTTTCTAATTGTCGCATTTTGTACTAAATTTCGTGGTTTTTTAAAACGTGGTACTGAAGTACTGAATGTAATCATTTTGTACTGAATTCAGTACAATTGTACCAAAACGGCAACACTGCCACTGCTGATTACAACTTTATGTCCTCAAAAGCAGGGTGTTTTGGATGTGTCATGCGCACAAAAAACATTTGTTGGCGGGAATTTCGAGTTATATGTTACATGTTATCTTGACAAATTGTTTCCGTTTTATTAGGAAATATTTTACTGTTAATTATAATTCCTTGTGTATTGTATACAGTAATCCAAGACGTTCAAACATAAACTATTTTTTGAACAGGCAGAGAGTGACGATGAAGATGAGAAAAGTGAAGTCGTAGAATTGCTGTTTTTTCTGGCCATTACAAGGTATCGATTAAATCTTGGAGTACCTGTTCGAGTGCCACAATATATAGAACGGCGAATTCAAAACCCTCTATGAATAGATACTAAGTTTCAATTTCATTTTAGAGACCTACTTTTCCTTTGCCGTTGTCACGAACTGTCAAGCAATATTAAAGAATGAGTAATGTAATGAAAGTCGTTCAGAAATACTAGGTAAACATAATTGATCTGGCAACCTGAGGATACCACTTATGTAAGCGCAAAGTGAGATCTGTCCCCCACTGTTGTGATTGCAATTTGTTAATTTTATAGATTATCTTTCTAGTGTCATTTTTGTAATCCAATTTAATTGTTATTTGTTTTTGAACGATTTTTAGGTGGTGAAAACTTTATAAAGTGCATAATACCTAGATGTATAATTCGCTCCTGCGCTAGCATTACTCATCTAAGTAAAAAATTGACTGGAATAACCTTTCATAGCTTAGTATAAAAAGTGTAAGAGTAAGCTTTTAAAAATACAAAAAATATCCTTCAAATTCTGAGCCTACCTATATTGGAATAATCATTTTTCATACGAAATAATATATTTCTGAAAATCGAAAAACGTAATTACAATTTGTATACAGGCATAACCGTGAACATTACCAATTTAGAGTCATAGGACCTTTTCCCAGATCGCACAGGACGTCCATTTTTCGTCTGTACGTCCAGGACCAATTCTGGACGTTTTAAATATGTCCAGTTTAATAAATCCTCGGGACGTCAAGAAATAGATAATAAATAAATAAGCTTTATTCAAACCATAGTGAATGTATACAATCATAACAAGAAAATTATAAATTGAATAAAGGTAAAAGCCGATAAGCATAAAGATACTTGTTTCGGCAAAAAAACAACAAAAATATATGTAATTTCACAGATTGCGAACAAACATAGATTAATGTAAAACTTATGTACTAACTAGATGAATGACTGTTTGATCGATTTTTAATACCTATCTAATAATAACAACAATAACATCAATAAAAATAGATAATTTTAATTATAGTTATAGTAAAATATTATCTTAGTAAAATAAACACATTCAAAAAACATAAAACTTGCACAAATGGATCAGAATATGAAATTAGCCCTGTGAAAGGATGTTAAATGTATTACTCAAAAAGACTTTTTTTGTTTTTTTTTTTTTTTTGAAAAGAAATTTGCTTAAAATAGATTTAATTTCTGCAGGTATGGTGTTGTAGAGTTTCGGCACTAGAAATGTAAACGTATGTTGCGTAGAAGTTTTTATCATACGAGGAACTATATAATTTGTTTTCTGGCGAGTATTTTAATTGTGTTCTGAAACAGTTGCTGAATTTTTACATTTTATATGGTAATAGGAGCAGGCGTGCATAAAATATAATTGTCTTAAGTCGAGTATGTTTGTTTCCAAGTAAAGAGAATCAGATGGATATCTAGAGGGTTTATCACACATTATTTTAAGAAATTTTCTTTGAATTATTTCTAAGCATTTTATATGGGATTTAAAGGCAGCCCCCCAGGCACACATTCCGTATCGAAGATGACAAGTGCATAATACAGGTTTCTTAAATGTTGTGGAGGTAAGACTTCTTTAATTTTTCTAAATTTATATAAAATAGTTCTCAATTTATTTAATGTGTAAAATATATGTAAGTCCCATTTTAAGTGAGGATCTATAATAATACCTAAATATTTTATTTGTTCAACAGGTAAAATCATCAATTCTCTGCTTCCACTAGCAATGCACAATTTCTTAAAATTTAGAAGTCCTACTGAGTTACAACTAAAAGGTAAATAGTTTGTTTTTTCTATATTTAGTAATTTGTTCTGTAACCATTCTGAAATAAGAGTAAAATCAGACTCGGCTATTAATTTTAGACGTTAACGTTGCCAATCATCTTCTTTGTAAAAGATGGCTGTGTCATCTGCGAATCCAATAATTTTGCCCTTAGTTTTCATACTCTATTTTTTTCCATGCTGATTTCTTCGCCCACTTTGACTTTTTGAGACCTTCCGGTGAGGTAACTAGAGAACAGTTGTAGACAAGTACCTCTAATACCAATATCCTCAAGAGACTGACAAAGTAGAGGATGACTCACAGTGTCAAATACTTTTTTTAAATCAATAAAAATACTTAAAGAGAGTTTGCTTTCATTGAGTGCTTCAGTAACTTTTGTGGTCAATGATAATATGGCGTCC